AAAAATGACAATGATAAGTTAGTATATATCAGTTATAACCATCAATGTCAATGGCCTCAATTCACCAATCAAGAGAAGTAGACCGGCAGAATGGATTAAGAAGCAAAATCCAATAATACGTTGTATACAAGACATGTTTAGTGCAAAAAGCAGCCCATAGACTGAAAGGACGGAAAAGTTCTTCATGGAACAGGAGCCCAGAAAAAAAGCAGGGGTAGCAATCTTATTCACAGACAAAGTTTCAAATTTAAACTGATTGAAAGAGACAAAGAAGTTCACTACATCCTTGTGAAGGGAACAATTCAAGAGGAAGAGATAACAACTAACTTATTTTTAATTTATTGAGTATGTCAGAAAGTACATATGCTTTTTTTCCCTCTTTTCTTTTTGTCCTTTTTCTTTTTCTTTCCTCGGATGCTGGGGATTAAACTCGGCACATTGTTCTGGCTAGGCAGGTGCAGTACTATTGAGCTAAATCTCAGGCTTTACATTTCATATTTTTAAAATTTATCAATACATCAATCCTTGTCTCTATATGTTGGTCTACCAAACTGATGAGTTGTTTTGGCTCTCATTTTCTTTGCTTTTTTATTTGAGAATTTGTGAAATCTGATATATATGAGTAGTATGAAAAGTAGTAAGGTCCATCTGTCATTTTCCTCTTTCATTTCTGCTTTCTACAAGTAAAGATTGGGTCTATGCTCAGTGGTAAAGCTCCTCTGGTTTCAATCCCTAGAACCACACACATAGTAACCTAATTTTCTTTTTATTTATTTTTTTGTGTGTGGGGAGAGTTGTTAGGATTTCTGTCACTTGTAACCAAAAGATACCTAACCGGTGCAGGAACCTTTGGTGTTAGTGACATTTTTCAGTTTTTGTCAACTTTGGCAAGCTTTTCCTCTATCCTTTGAGTTTCGGGGTCTCATTTCTTGAATCTTTTACTACTTTCATGCCACACGATAATGACTTATGTCTTAGATTTTATTCTGATAGCTTGAGAGCACCTTTGATTTCAAATTAAAATTGGACTGACAAATCATTCAAGTGAAACGGTATGGTGGGCCAAGCCTGTAATCCCAGCACTCGGGAGGCTGAGGCAGGAAGATCTCTGTGAGTTCCAGGCCATCCTGGACTACATAGAGAGCTGGTAGTATGTAGTGAGACCCTGTCTCGAAAACAAAAAACAAAACCACTGGGTGTGATGATGCTTACCTGTAATCCCTGCACTCAGGAGGCTGAGGCAGGAGGACCACCACTAGTTCAGGACCCACGGTGAGTTCAAGACTAGCCTGAACTGCCAAATGAGACCTTGCCTGAAGAAAACAAAGCAAAAGCCCCAGAAAACTTGTTATGGAAAACAAAACCACACCCTAAAAAACTCATTAAGAAAATAGGCAATGATGCTTCTTTTACATTTTCCAAATTCCACTGCTGATTTTTGTTGCTATTTCTTCTCCATAGTGTATTTTTTTAAGACAGTTTCTTGCTATGTAGTTCAGACTGGCCTTGAACTCACTGTGTAGCCCAGGCTGGCCTCAAACTTGTGATCTTCCTGCCTCAGCCTCCCGAGTACTGGGATTACAGGTGTGCGCCACCACACCCGGCTTTTTCGTGTATTTTATTAGCATCAATTCATATAACATAAAATTATTCTAAAATGAACAGTTTGTTGGCATTTAGTGTTCATGCTGTTGTACAGCCACAACTGTAGTTGCAAAACATTTCCATCAGTCCATTAAAAAAATAGCTCTGTACCTTTTAAACAGTTACTTCTTATCCTCTCAGTCTTGCAGAATGGAGGAAATTGCATTTTGATGGTATTTCTGGGTATTTCATACAGATGTGTGAATGTGTGACTTTTTGTGACTGGCTTCTTCACAGCCTGCTTTTTATTTTTTATTGTTCTGAGATAGCGTCTCACTACGTAGTTCAGGCTGGCTGTGAATTTGCCATTGTAACCCAGGCCGGCCTTTAACTCACAGTGATCATCCTGCTTCGGCCTCCCCAGTGCTGGGGTTACAGGTGAATGGTGAGCCTTTATGGTGAGCCTTGACATAGGCACAGCCATGATTGAACTTTGAGTCACCTCGCCGGCACGGACGTGCTGTCGCCCATAGCAACGGGCTAGTTCAACGGGTGGTCTGACCTGTTGCCTAGCAAATGTAACCCATAATACTTGTTTTGTAGAACCTTGTGACCTTTGCAGTGAGCTACATCCTGTTCACACTTTTGGTTTCGGTTTTAGGCTGTATATACCCCACCCTGAAACATAAACGGGGCCTTGCTACGAAGAGAGCATGAGCCTGGAACTAAGTTCGTGAAACTGCTCTCCCGTTGTTCTTCCCTCGGGTTTGGGACCTGCTGGCAGGATTCTGACGTTGTGGCTCGCGACACAGGTGTGCATCACCATACCTGGTTTATTTTTAAAATTTTGAGTCAGGGTCTTGCTAAGTCACTAAGTTGCCCAGGTTGGGCTCAAGCTTGTGATCCTCCTGCCTCAGCCTCCCAGAGTGCTTGGGTCACATGTGGGCAACCCCATGCCTGGCTGCTTATCCCTTTAAATTGTATTTATTAACAACGAATGAGTGTCTATCTCTGTATCTCACTTAAAACCTACAGCAGTGACAGTAATTTGTCTGTTTGAGTCTCTTTCCCCTTACATTCCCAAATCAAAAGTAACATCACTGTTTTGAATTCCATATTTACATTTTCTATTTACTATAGTTCTATGAGATAGAAATTAACATCTGTAAAACTTTGTTTTTTCAGTGATGGGATTTGAACTCAGGACCTTACTTCTGTATGCTAAGCAAGCACTCTACTACTGAGATTCCTGTTGACCCCTATTATGTACAGGACATGCTATTGTCTGATTTTTTTTAATATTGCCAATTGCGTGTGTCTACAGTGACATCTCACTGGGTGTGGTGCTGCACACCTGTAATCCTAGCATCGGGAGGCTGAGGCAGGAGGATTGCTTTGAGTTGGAGGCCAGCCTGTGCTACATAGTGAGTTCAAGGCCAGCCAGAACTGCATAGTGAGACCTTGCCTCAAAAAACAAAAACAAAAACAAAACCAGAAAAGCAAAACAAACAAACAAAAAACCCAAACCTCCTGGTCTGGATTCCTATTTTCCTACTTTTTTTGGTGGGGGGGGGGCGTGTACCGGGGATCTAACTCAGGACCTTGCACTTGCAAGGCAGGAACAGTAGCTCTGAGCAAAATCCCTGGCCCAATTTTCCTACTTATTAATGAAGTCGTGTTTCTTTATAAATTTTTTTTTTGTTCTAAGAGTTTTCTATACATGGGCTGAATGTTTTGCCTTTGAAAAAAAAATTTTTAAATGATCTAGAGGGCTGGGGATTTAGCTCAGTGGTGCCACCGTCTGCCTCACAAGCGCAAGGTCCTGAGTTCATCCCCGTACCCTCACCCAAAACAAAACAAAACAAAAATTAGGAAGCTGTGTGTGATGGAGCACGCCTTTAATCCTACACTTGGAAGGCTGAGCCAGGAGGATCACTGTGAATTTGAGGCCAGCCTGGGCTACACAGCGAGACCTTGACTCAAAAAAATTAAAAGCGCTAGTGATCGAACCCGTGACCTTCATATGGTGCTCCATCTCCAACCCTTTTACTTATTTATTTATTTTTTGTGTTTTGAGACAGGATCTCCCTATGTAGTTGAGACTGACCCAGAACTCAGTATGTAGCCCAGGCTGATCTTGAACTCACAGCGATCCTCCTGCCTCAACCTCCGGAGTGCTGGAATCTACAGGCGTGCGCCACCACGCTCAGCTCCAACCCATTAAATTTTCTGTGATCTTTTATTTTGACACAAGGCCTTGCTAAATCACTAAATCACCCAGGCTGGGCTCAAACTTGAGATCTTTCTGCCTCAGCTCCCGGAGTGCTGGGATTACAGGTGCTGGTTGTACACCACCATACCCAGCAGTTCTGTCTCTCTTTTAGATTGGCTGCCCTCTTACTGAGATGCAGGAGTGCTGGAAATACTAAGACATTACTCACACACTAATTACATTAGTATCTCCGTGTATCTTTGGAGATAAGAGAAGTGTTTTCCGTGGTTACTGCCCCGGGGGAGGTGAGCGGTCCCGAGGAGCCTCGTTCCGGTAAACAGCACCAACAGAGGGCGCTGTCGGCCCACTTTTACCCGCGCAGGGCTAGCGGACTCCCTCACCCGCAATTCAGGAAACCAGAACCGGTCAGAGTGGAGAACACCTGCATATGTACAGTGAGATATTGTGGGGATAAACCCTTTTTTCGGGGAGAAGGGGGAAACACACGTTTAAACACGAAGCTCACTTTCACATACACCTTATACACATAGATTTAAGGTCATTTTGTGCAAAAAAAAAATTTTTTTTTTAAAGGTAAGTTCTGGCTATGCAGTTCAGTCTGGTCTTGAACTCACCTTGTAGCCCAGAACTCGCAGCGATCCTCCTGCCTCAGCCTCCCAAAGTGCTGAAATTATAGGCATATGCTACCATACTCTGCTAGCTTCTTCACTTTGTTTCTTCTTTTTTATTTAATCAGTATGGAACTCTGGCTGCTCTACCTTTGTCTTGAAGAGGGACCCCCCTTCCCACGGAACTCCTAAAGGTACGGTGACCTTACCCAGGGCCCCTGGGAAGCCTGTGGGAATATAGAGCCTCCTCCTGGACTTCACTATGCCCAGAATTCCCCGGGGCACCAGGAGGGCGGGTTCGGGGGCCACAAGGACAAGCACAGGCCTCCCCTGTGCCCTGCTGTCCCGCCCTGACTGCTGTGTGACCTGAGTGCAACACCTTGAGTGGAGCCTGTGAGTGGCTGCCCGAGGCTGCCCTGGTGAACAAAGTGTCTTTTTCCTATAGCACTGGCTGAGGGGTCTGCGGGTTGCCTAAGGTCTTCGGGGGTCTCTGTGCCCTGATCTGTTTGGGGTCCCTGGCAGTGAGTGCCCCGTCTTGGGGAGCATGTAAAGGGACAGCCTGGCACACTCTGCGTTTTGGGGAAGAGGCAGGAGCTCGACAGGGACCCAGGTTCTCATGCAGAGAATTCAGTTCAAGTTTTATTGAAGCTCTCTTCTTTTGTTTGTAAGACAGGATCTCACTGTGTAGTCCAGGCTGGCCTGGACCTTGTGGGGATCCTCCTGCCTCAGCCTCCCAAGGGCTGAGACGGCAGGTGCGTACCACCATGCCAGATCTTGATCTCCTCTCAGCCAGGGCTCCGTACAGCCCCCAGGGCTGCAGCCTGAGGTGGCTGTAGATGGCCACTGGTGTCCTGTTGCTGTCCAGGAGGAAGGGTCTGGGAACGGATCATCACCCCCTTGCCAGCCGTGGGTGGGGCCTCCCTGCGTCCCCAGAGTGGGCGCAGCGCTGCCTGTCCAGCCGCCCCCCAAAGCTAGGCCCTGCTGGCTACTCAGCCACGGTGTATCTATTGGCCGGCTGCTCTGCTGCCCGGTACCGGTGGCCACCAGCCAGGGCCAGCCCGGGCCCTCGATCCACCCCGTTCTTCAGCCGGGGGTGATGCTCAGCGGCTGCCTCCTCGCTGCTGGAGCTGGACTCTTCCGTATCACTGCGGATGTCCTTTGTCATCTGGGGAGCACAGAGGGGGCCGAGGAGAGGCTCAGGGGTGAGTGGGGATGGGGGGGGGCACAGGCGGTAACCCCCCGCGGCCGCACCTGACCCTGCACCAGGTAGTTGTACAGCATGCGCAGGATAAGGCTGAACCAGTACACGTGCAGGCCGTTGAGCAACACCAGGACGACGATGAAGAAGTAGTAGCCCAGGAAGGGGTTGAGCACTTTGAAGAAGTCGGAGAAGAAGGAGTAGATGATCCTACGTTGGGAGGGAAGGGGATTTCACTAGCCACAGGGACCTCTTCCTTACTCAGGGCCTTCATGCTCCAGAACCTTTTCTGCCCCCCCCCCTTCACTTTGAAGAAGTCGGAGAAGAAGGAGTAGATGATCCTACGTTGGGAGGGAAGGGGATTTCACCAGCCACAGGGACCTCTTCCTTACTCAGGGCCTTCATGCTCCGGAACCTTTTCTGCCCCCCCCCTGGTACCAGGGATCAAACTCTAGACCTTGTGCTTGTGAGGCAGGTGGTGGAATGACGGCTCCTCTTCTTAAAATCTTTATTTAAAAATTTATTTTGAGACAGGGTCTCGCCATGGCACCCAGGCTGGCCTCAAACTCAGTGGCGATCCTCCTGCCTCAGCCTCCTGAGTGAATGCTGGGGTGCTGGGCACGCGCCACCACACCCAGCTTTATTTTTCAGTCTCCTTGCAAGAATCACCTTCCTTCTGCACAAACGCTGCCAGCAAAGTGTCCCTGAAAGACCTGGTGAATGCCAGATGCTACACAAGCTTCCTATGCCTTCCCGAACTTTATTTTCTCTTTGGCACAATAAGCCCCTTGTCTTCCCTCCATGTCAAGCAGCAAGACGGGGACAGGCTTGTCCCCTTGCTATGTGCCCACCGCCTGGCTCAACGAAAATGACAGGCGAGGACTTTTGTGAGTTGGTGCCCACCCCCTTCCGGTTCCAGGAGGCCCTGGACAGCGACTGCCAAGCCTGCTTTCTGTCTGTTAAAGCAGGGCCTTTGCACATGCGGGGAGCCGTGCCCGGCATGCCCTTCCCTGCCCAGAAGTGTCCGGCTCCTGGAGGCTGGGTCCAGGTGCGATGGGCAGGTGCTGTCCTCCCAACCCTACCCTCACAGGGCACTCACGTGGTGGGCATCAGGATGAGGCGGGTGTAGAAGAAAAGCAAGGCGAAGATGAAGAAGAGGATGTCGCAGGTTAGCGAGAAGCCCATGTATTTGAGCATCTTGCAGAGCTGGGAGCGCAGCAGAGAAAGGCGCTCAGGACCCGGGCTAGGTGGGATGGAGGGATGGGGTTGGGGAGCTGGGTAAGGTGGGACTTGTCTGGAGGAAAAGGTGCCATGGGGCAGAGCCAGAGGAGCTGGGCGGAGGCCTTATCCACAGAAACTGCCTTAGAAAGGCGAGAAAGTCTCAGTAGCCAGGGAGTTTGAGAGGCCATCTCCCAGGGCTGTGGAGAGGGGCGGGGCCTCGGCTCCCAGGGCTGTGGAGAGGGGCGGGGCCTCGCCTCCCAGGGCTGTGGAGAGGG